ATTGAGAAATTATCCACTTAAAAAGTGAAAACACCTGTGTATAATCAACTTCGTCTCTGTAGCAAAATTCATTAAAGTAATTACATTGATATCCTTATTTTTGTACGTTAATGCATAGCTACAATTGTTTGTCTGCCAGAAATAGCGGTTGCTGTTTTATCTCAGTGTGAAGTATGTTTTTATTAGTTGATTTTTTACTGTTAAATCTGTCAAATCAGTTAGCGTGAAAGTTAATTTTCTTTGACGTAATTTATCTTGTAATTTCCGTACATTGTGTAATTATTTTCTTGAAAACAGAATCCAACATGAAACTGAAGACAAGAAATATATTTAATGAATGAGTCGACGAAAGTACAGCTGAACCTACTGTCATAATCGCTAACCAATTCATCAATTTCATATTCTTCTTTTTTGGCGCAGATTATGAGTTATGTGAAGTTATTCTTATTGCATTTTAATACGAGTAAACTAAACTTAATAAATTTAATTGTAAAATTGGACAATAGCAGATTTGTACGTAGTGCCTGATATTTTTTTAAATGGGATATCGTTAAACTATTTGGAGAATCAATTTCAGATTTCATTTGCAGAGACAGCCTACTGAATATGCAGTTTCTCTATGCCGCCCATTCAATTCCTTCCGACATCAAAGGGAATTCTGTTTTCATTAGCGAACTTTGTCGGCAGATACGGCAAATGTGGTGGAGTGTGTAAACTGATTTTCGTTTGATCTCATCACAATCTCCATGCTAACTAAATATTAAAAGGGATGTGATTTTGTGGAGTGGATAATGTCTCTTGAAAGTGTCTGTAAAATGAAAACTACATTGAACGGCAGTGATTAGTGCTTTGTATATTCGTTTCAGTGGTATTTATTATTCATATAATGACTTGAATTTCGCACATCATGTTATCTTACTCTAGCTGCCGGGAATTGTTGAGTTCCGCGGTTTCTCCAAGCAATACCAGGCAAATGCCGAAGGAATCCCTAACAAACGGACCACAAGCCAGGTGCGATCTTTCCTTCCTCATCCTCTCCTACATTGCCTCTCCTTATACACACATAGGCGTATATGCGTTACTCTACCACATACGTCGAGGGACCAGACGGGCGCACACTGCTAGGGCCGACTGAGCTAGTGCCCTGCTGTTAAAAGGGAAGGGAAAGTCTCGTAACCCGACGTTTAAGTCTGTGCAGGATGTCACATGCAACTGAAAGAACCGTCACCCTACACTGCCTAATGGGACTAATGATCTCAGTAATTGACGCAGTCGGAATTAATATTCCCTCACTCTCTTCTCTTGTTTTTGAAATCATTAACTTCCAAGTAGAGTAAACAACATAAAATTTAACATGCAACGTAAATCTGTATTACTGCGGTTCCAAGCGCTCTCACAGAAGGGGTTTGTGTGTGTGTGTGTGTTTGCAGTGCCGCCGCAGAACCTGACGCTGCTGGACGAGGAGGGGCGGGTGCTGGAGGGCGCCACGCTAGGCCCTTTTCTGGAGGGCGTCTTCGTCACGCTCACCTGCATAGCGGAAGGCGGTCAGTTCTCATTGCTTTGTCTGCTTCGAGGGAAAGTTGAAAATTCAAAACTATCTCTAAAATGTTCACCATTGCCGATTCATCATCTTTCTTCACGTGGAATAGACATGAAAGAGACAGAACAAAATTGAAAAGGTTGTCGATTAGCCCAAGTCTAATCGGTTACACTGTAAAATAATTAAGAAAAACTTTCAAAATTACTTAGAAGCTTTTACAGTTGATTGTGAAGTTAACAATACTATATATATTTTCTACAAACTAGGTTGTAACAAATTATAAAAAAAATCAGCGTCGCTGTGGTGCATAGTGTTGATATGTCGGAAAAGTAAAATGACTATTACGTTATGTAACAAAACCAATCGGACAACACGTGAATTCCGTATTAAACAGTTTGTATCATCCCCGTCTAAGAAAAGAAGTAGATCTCAAATATTTTTATTCGAGCGGTGCTTTCCATGACCTGGGCTATTCTTTAAAGCGTCACTCTCATCATCCGAAAACAACGATTAAATTTGGGGCCATTTTTGTGAAAATTTTGAGAATGATGAGGATTTATGTAAAGTATCCCCCCCAAGATCAAAATGCTTTAATACAAAATCCTGCAGGTC